CATTGATGTTGTGGGAGGTGTGGCTGGCCAGCGTCAGGCCCATTCGGACAGTTGTAACAGGTGCACACACAGACACCCCCCCGTTGGATGCAATGGTGCAAACAGTTGAAGTGCCACCGTTACATTGCTTTCACTCTCCCTGCCCTGTGCTATTCCCTGTGCTGCTGCTCCCTGTACATGCGCCTCTTACCCATTCATTTCCTCTTACATCACAAACAGGTTGCACACCTCGCGAAGCTATGTGCTGCACTTCATGAACTGTTCGGCCTTGGAACACAGCAAGCAGTACCTTTGCATACCACAGGCAATTCGTCAAGCGCGTAGCAGAGTCTTTTTGTGTATGCATGCATACTATGGTGCAAGGATGTGGCCGAGGGCGAGTGGTGGGGGAATGGTGATGAGGAGCGGGGGCGGTGGTGTGTGTGTATGGAGTGCATGCATGTATGTCTCTGGTTGCCTGCTTATGATGAGGAACGGCAACTGGGGAAACTGCAATTTTTTGCCACCAGACAGCGTTACGACAGGCTGACTGTCATATTGCAAAGTGGTAAAGTAATCTGTCATTGAGGCCTTGCAATTTTTGTAACTTAAAATATTGCAATTACACGAGTGCTTGTCCTTTTAACTACATCTCATCCAAACCCCAAGTAGTTCATGCTAAAAGCACGAATAGCATCCTTTTGATGTATGCTGTCCATGACTACCCATTGCGGTCTTAAATTTAAAACAGCTATTGTACTTCTATCAACTTTGAATGGGCAGGGGTACATGTGTCCAGCCTTTGCGGCCTATAAGATTTGCATTACTTTCAGCCGTCCTTTCTAGGGTAGATTGCCGCTGCTACCTCGGTACTCATGATCAATCTCCATCATGTGTGGCCGGTTTCCGTCCCCCTCCTTTGTAGAGCACAATAGCTCATGATACAAACAATCCAGGTCATGCGAGACATGAGAACAGGATTCCCAAATATAACCCCTGCCAATAAGACATATCATGACACGACAACCTCCGATACGCATCGATGTGTTCATCCGTTTCCTCAACAGGAAGTACCTGGCGCCAGTACCAAGTTTGCTTGTGCACCACTTATTGTAGGGACATCTAAAGAGCGATATGCTAAAGCTACGCCTGGGGAACCCCCTCAGTCGCCGGCAGACGCCCCTTGCAGACGTCCCTCGCTCGTCCTCTATGTCCTGGTCAGCTAGCTTGTGTGCGTATCCTTGAATAGTCGTGGAAGCGGCACAAACAGGTTGGTCCGTGCCTTGTATTCCTGGTACTCGGCTGAGTCGCCCCAGCGTTGCTCTGCCATCTTCTCCAACAGGGGCACACCACTCACATACCGCAGCAGCAGCATCACTGTCAGGGGACTGGCCACGGCCAAGTACTGCCAGGTAGATGTAAAGCTTGGGGCGCACGTCAGGAAAACGCCCCACCTAACACCGGGCGGGAACACGGGCGGGAACATTAGGAGGTCAGATGCGCACTTAGCTGGGAATCAATGATAACGACTTACAACTGATCCCATTATTTGATGATCATACCAGTAGAGATACTGACTCGACCAGAGACGGAATTGTGAAAGACGACCCTGCATGTAGTCAGCAGCAGTGCTGCTGTAATGGTAGGTACGCAACCCGAGCCCCCTTCCCTCGTGCAGCACATGCACACACTACATAGCAATAGCCCTCATATAGCATCACATCACATGACATACAACCCAGTCAAGTACGTACCAGATCATCATCTCTCCAAAGTAGTTCGGGTGGCGGCTGTACGACCAGAGCCCCTCATCAATGAATCGCCCCTTGTTCTCGGGCTGCGCCTTGAAGACAGACTTCTGGTAATCTGCTACTGCTTCCAGGCACAGTCCAGTGCCGTACACCAGGATGCCTGGCGGAGCGAGCAACAACAACAACAACAGGCAGCGAGGTGCTTTATGTGGGTCAATTACCCCACACAAGGATGAACGACCCCACGTCAGACCGGGTCAAGGGACTGATAGATCCCCAACCTGGAGGGGCAGCCTGACGGCCAGTCTCACAGCCTCACGCCCTCCAGGACGGTCAACCGCGACATCACCGATATGTCCCGGAGCGACATACCGCTCCTCTCCCGATGTGCACCATCAAAACGATACAGCAGCCACATGTAGCCACCAGCGTTCATGCCATGACTGAAACCCACCCGCGCCAATGAATCCCAATTAAACCACCGGAGGTACCACACAGAGGCAAAAGAGACAAACCGCATGGCCAGGGGTGCGCGCGCGTGTGTGTGTGTGTGTGTATATGGGTTACGCATTGAGCTTCATTATTAGACTTCAAAGGTGCAACGAACCCGTACAAGTCAGGGTCTCCAGGGGGGGGACCCGAGGCCTTCACAAGGTACGACACAGTGTCACATCGTTCTAGCATCACATCAATTTGGCCCCTTTCCTTGTGCGTACGTTTGTGGGTGTGAGCCAGTGAGTCCCCCGTACACGTGCCGTGCTTTGTCGAAGCTGCAGTCACGTGGCGTGACATGAGGGCAGCAAGCCTAGCGCTATGAGCTATGAGCCGCCGGGCAGCTGGCAGCTGCGGCCGCCTAAGGCACCCACCTAAGGCGTCCAAGGCTGCCAGCGGCGCCGTGCTGCGGGCGCCATTCACAAACAGTACCGGCAGCAGGCTCACGAACACCCATACGGCCTGAGCTTGCAGAGGTACATGGAGGGGGGTTTGCAGAGAGCGGGACAGTGGAAGAGGGCGGCACGGGATGGCGCCTATCACACCCCGTGTATGTATGTATGTATGTATGTATGTATATATGTATGTATGTATGTATGTATGTATGTATGTATGTATGTATGTATGTATGTATGTATGTATGTATGTGCCCCTACCTACCCGCCTAGGGTGTGAAAGGGCAGCAACCCAAGATGTCGCCCCCCCCCCCAAGATCTCGGAATCAACAGAAGGCGGGGGAGCCGCCCACAGCGCAGTCTGCCGGTCAGCAGGTTTGCAACACACATACATACATCGGTACGTAACGGAGGTAGTAGACCCCCCGACACGCGAGGCACAACCTGGTTACTGAACTGTAGTGTGAGCGGCTCTCACCCCGTCTGGTCCACTCTGGTTACATACCGGTTCCGCAACTACAGCCTTACGACATGAAGTATAACCACTAACTGTCTCAACTAACCACCACCGCCCGCCATACCTGCATGGTCCAATACACGAAGAACTTGGCGGGCTGTTCCTTGACTCCATCGAACCGCACGTCCTTGCCGGTCTTGGCTACTCGGCTCACCAGGTAGTAGCCCAGACGGACGGCCCACAGCCCCACCATGCCGCTCACAAGGAGCTGGACAGCCGGCAGAAGAGGACAGCGGGGGAAGCGAGGAAGTATGCTAGAGACCGGAGTGCAAGACACGGGACGTGTGTGTATGTATGTATGTATGTATGTATGTATGTATGTATGTATGTATGTATGTATGTATGTATGTATGTATGTATGTATGTATGTATGTATGTATGAGCTTTAGTGGGCTGATAGCGAGGCGGCGGCAAGACAGGACAGGGTACGTGGTAATGACCTTCGGTTTGGTTCTGAGCTCCGAAATCCCTGTTTGTGGCGCAACGTCCGCACAGCTGCACCAAGTCCACCAGGCCGGGCCCCGCGCCTCTCAGTCCAATCCTCAATCCAACGGCCCCAAGAGGGCTCCTCCTTCCCCTCCAGCTGCTGCTGCTGCTGCTGCCGTACATAACGACTTGGCCTCATCACCTACAAATCCGCCTCAAAGGAATTGTTTCCCTCCGCCGCCACCCAGTCCGCCACCTTCTCCGGGGGGCGGTTACCCTGATCCGCCTGCTGTGGTCTGGTCCGGTGTCCCTCCTCCTCCGGCAATGGGGGG